AACACCGTGCCACACCGCCTCTCTGATGGCCTCGACAATTGTTTCGACCTTGGCTGAAAGACCTATCCTAAACAGTAAGTCCCCCCACGAGCAAGCCCCATGCGCCGCTGCCTCCTTCCCATCCGCTTCACATTCGTTTTTATGTTGAGTTTTCATAATTTTTCGCATTCGCATGAAATTCGCATCTCTCTGCGCCCCATTTAACATTCGAGTGGGCGTGGCGGCAGACATTAAAAGAGCTTTGCGCCTCCTGCCCGCCTTTGCACCTGACAATAAAATTAATTAAAATTCAATAAATTGACGCCCAAATGAAACATTCAAAATGAAAAGCGGAGCTCAACATTCAAATGGAAATCCGCTCTGGGCTCGCAAATGGGGGTAGTTGGGGCATATTTACATTTCAGCGCTTTCCTGATGGCATCTGAGCAGGGGGCAGGAGAAGCAGAGCGAGAGGGAGAGGGAGAGGGAGCGGGCGAGGGCGGCATTGCTGGGTGTCAGCTTATGTTAATGCTCAATTACAATTGTTGTCCTTGTTTGAGTTTCAGCTGAAAATTCACTGTATTCCCACGGGTTTCCGGCTGGGTTGGGGCCCAATGTAGGTGCAAATGTATTTACATAGCGCTCGAAAGCGATCCAATCCAATTGCTGGCATAGCAAAAACAAGCTCCTCTCAATTGACTTCACTTTTATTATTATTGAATGGCAATTAAATGATATTAGATTCCAGATAAGTCCCAATTGAATTTGGAGGACCTTTCTATTTTCAGACCCTTAGCAAAAGAGGTAGCTTTTTATATTTAGAAATAAGTTCTGGAATTAGGGGACCCAAATGTTTCAGCTCACGCGACCTGAGCTCAGAATATAGAGACAGTCTAAGGTTTATGTAATTTATTGTAAATTGGGCAATCCGAGCTTAGAGCTCTATAGCATTTTGTTCGGCTCTGTAAAAAAGTGGGAGGACTTTTCTCCAACGGAATGCCATCCTATCAGCATATTAGCATATATCCTATCAATAAACATAAATTTGCTTCTCGAAATATTCAAAAATTCTAATTTTTTTTGCATTCTCCCTCTCTCTCTGTCTCTCTCTCTCTCTCTCTCTCTCTCTCTGCACACATAAATAGTTCGTTAGGTAACGGCACTTGGGCTTATTATTTGCTCCATTTGCCCTTGTCTAGTTGTATATCAATGCGCATCGTTACACTTAAGCCCCAGCACAGCCCCTTCCCCTTGGCATGCCCTACCTCGACAATCAACAGTATGCTAGTTCATTGTTATTTATAAATTTGTGTATTGTTGTCGTTGTGTTGTTATTGTTGTTGTTGCCCAATCGAAGTGCCAATAAATTTACAGCGTCATAGACAGACCCAGCCCCAACGCCCCTACGCTTGCAACACGGGCAACCTCTCGCCCTTGTGGCGCTCACGCTCGTGGCAATTGCGGGGGCCCATAAACAAAACACTCAGCAGAGCACAGGAAATAAACAACAACAGCGGAACAAGTGTGAATGCTCCAGTAGGGAGTGCTCAACGCCGAGATAGTCTATGGGATATATAGAATGTGGGGCAAAAAGTGGAGGGTGCTTAATTCTTGTATACCTTTCCAAGGACTACTAGATAGGTCTAACTCTCAACAGATTCGATAAAGGTTCGAATAACTGAAAATTCCGATAGATTGCGTGTTGAAAAATATCGATGATGTTCCTATCGAGTGGTCCTTGGAAAGGTATACATGAATTAAGCACCCTCCACTTTCCAAAGAAGGAAGATGGGCTCGGACAGTTGGATCGACAGGCGGAGGGACGAATGTATAGAGTCTTGAATGGAGGAACGGTAGAGCGGTAGAGCGAGCCAATGCGGGGATCGAGAGACGGACGGATGAACGGATGGGGCTCGTATAAACGAGCCAGGAATTTAAAGATGAAGTCTAGACTCGAACGGTTGCTTGAATATATAGGTGGCTAGATAGAGTCCTGGATGGAGCAGAAAGGAAGAAAGAAGGAAAGAACGGAAGAGCGAATGAAAGAAGCCACAGTTTTTGGGACAGAGGGAAAAGCAAACCAACAAGCAGCCGAATAGAAGGGACGAGGGAAAGACTGAAGGAACGAGCAAGGACTGACGGACGGCCCGTCAAAGGGACGGAAGGGTCCATCCACCACTATGGACACACGACTCTTGACAAGTGCATCCCTTGCTATCCGAGCGAGCCAACACGCCCATCTCACCTAATGCACTGAGCTTAGGGTATGCACAATTTATTAGACAGCAACAAATTATTTTTATTTTCCACGATTCCTGCTGAGGGTTGGAGAAGTTTTGAGTGGGTTATGAGAACCGAAACCAAATGCAGGTGGCTTTAGACAAAAAAGTATTTGTATATAAATAAATACATGGCAAATAAACTGCATTTAAGTGTTGCCTGAGATAGTATAGTCGAAGAGCCCGCCCAGCAGGCATGGAGCTGGGGAATGGGGCTGTGCGAAGGGCCAGCTGAGGAGAAACTTTGCCGTATAGGCAGCGCTCATAATGATGTTATTGTTGCTGTTATTGTGGCAGAGGCATGCGCCAGCAAATTGAATTGTTTGGCAAAAGCTATGCGAGGCCAAGTGAGTGAGTGGGACAGAGAGCGAGTGAGAGCGCGACAGAAGGTAGCTCAGCTGACAGCGAAATCAACAAGCAAGCAATTCAGGCTGCCTTGCCTCTCGCTGTGTGTGCGCGTGGGTGCAAGTTCTTGTGGCAACAGTTGTCCCAACCAAATGCCAACATTCACACACACACACACACATACTCATACACACGCCACACTTGGCTAACAAAGTTAGGCAAAAAACAAAACAAAAGTAAAAAAAATAAAAATAAGAACACCGAGAAAATTCTTTTGGCAACAACAAGCGCAGAAGAAGGAAATTGAAAAGCCTGCAAATGCTTGTGGTGTGGGTCTTTATGGTGGGTGGCTACATGTGTATAAGATTGTCACACACACGCACAAATACACACACATACACACACAGAGAGTAGCTACCTCTCAGTTTCGATTTGTGAGTTTTGAACAAATTTTTTTTTTCTTTGCTTGGCGACAAAGGCATTTCGAGAGCTTTTCTTTGTTTTTGTATATGTATGTGTGTGTGTGTGTGTGTGTATTTTGCGTGTTTGTTTGTGTTTGTTCTCTTGTGGAATTGAACTTTGCTGGCTAAGCAGCGCGTTACTAATTTGACAAAGCAATGCGTTTGCCTAAAAGCAGGCAACGCATTTTGTTGGTTAAGCAGATGGAAATTGCTTATACGGTGATCACTCGATATGTGTCACACTCTCTTTGTAAAGTAACTGAGAAGGTGTTCAAGCAGCCAGGCAAACAGTCAGCATAAGGCTGACTGCATGGACATCGAATAAAAAGTTCACTAAGCTATGATTCGACGAATGAGTCAAATCAATCAAAAATCTATATTCCAGCCAGTTGCTCTGTCATCAATCAGTCAATGAATCAGTCAGTTTGTCTGCGAATCAGTTAATCAGTAATTTATTAGTCAGTCAATCATCTTATCAGACTGTCAGTCATCTATCAGTAAGACAGTCAATCAGTCCACCAGGCATAAACGCGTCTTTTAGTCAGTCAATCAATGAATCCACGAATCAGTCAATCCATCTGTCAAATATCAGTCAATAACCATTCATCAATTGATGATTTAGTCAATCATACTGTCATTTATCTGTCAGTCAATCAGTCAATCAATCAATGGTTGACTGAATCATACGACAATCCATCAGTGGTAACTATCATCAATCAAACATATAACCAACAATCATTCATCAGTTAATCAAGCTTCTATCAATCAGTCTTTATTCGGAAAGCTAGTCAAAAATAAATCAAGCGGTCAGTCAATCAGTTATCGATCAATCAACAAGTCTAGCCATCAGTCAATCAAACATCAGTCTGCCAATCTGCCAATCAGTCAATCATATATCGATTAGTCAGTTTATCCTTCAGTTGTTAAGAGTTAGTCAATCGGTCATCAGCAGGTCAAACAGACTATCAGTCAATCATTCATCAGTCTATCAATTTGATATCGGACAATTTTATTCAATCAGATATCAACAATCTGTCACTTTGTCATCGGTCAGTCGACTGACTCAATCAGTCATCAATCAGCAAGTCAATCTATCAATCATTAATCTGTCAATTGTCATCTTTTAGCCACTCAATGACTGATAAATCAGTCAATCATTTAGCCACTCACTCACACAATCAATGGGTAAATATAATCGATACGATATCTTATATATGCAGACTGTCCCAATTTCTCCATTTTCCTTTTGAATGTTGCCAAATGCTTGTAACAGTAAAACACTTTAGAATGCCATACGAAACATGAAATATTTTTTCATTTCGAATATTAAAACATTTCATTCAGACAGATTTAACGTCTACTCAGGCCTTGCGCTGACTGCGTTGGGTGAACCTAATACCCGAAATGTTTCTCTTATTGGGCGATAGAGGAATAACCAACAACAACAAAATCATTGTATGCCTACCCGCCCAACTCAGGCAAAGGACTCGCTGCGATCCTGTCTGAAACATTGGTTGACCATATTTTGACAACTGTTACCGCAAAAACAAATAGAACTAAAAATGCCATAAAAAAGAGTGGGAAAGGGAAGCGGAAGGGGAAGGGGAAGGGCAAGGGGTAGGCAATGTGTGGGTGTGGACGTTTGTGGTGCAGAGAAGCAGAAGGAACAAAAAATTGGACGGCCAGCTGCGGCATGTGGCATGTGGCATGTGGCATCCACTTGTGGTTATTGTTGTCAGAACTTTTGCTTTTTGCGTACTTGCGCCACTTGCTGGCTGTTATTTTAACCAGCTAAATGTGGACGTGTGAGAGCGTGTGTGTGTGTGTGTGTGTGTGTGTGTGTGTGAATGCATATGGGTCTGTGTGTGCTGGCCAAGGCTTTGCTTACAAATCGGGGGCAAGGCAAAGAAAAACAAGAATTACTTTTATATTTAACTTGCTGAATATGAAATACTCTAGCACAAACTGTTAGAAAGTGTTATACCTCGCTTTGCAACAGATATAACATCTTAGAAACTAAGAGCGTGCCATCAACTGCTATACGAAAAATTGCTCAAAAGGTATTAAGTTATTAAGTTATTTATAACAGCTATATGTCTATTATATTATTGAAATTATTCTACAGTCATATCCACCTAAATAAACTAAGTTTGGCTAGCACTAGTTAATATGCTATTACTGTTATACTGCTCTACCGGAATACTGTTCTACTGTTATACTGTTATACTGTTATACTGTTATACTGTTATACTGTTATACTGATATACTGTTATACTATTATAATGTTATACTGTTATACTATTATATTGTTATACTACCAGTAAATGCAAATCGTAGGACAACATAATTATCATTAAAATTTCTCTACAGGTTTATCCACCTAAATAAACTAAGCTAGTTTATCAATTGATTTCCCATATACAACTCCATACTCCTTCCACAGGTCCTATCTAAAGCTTATCATAATGGAATATGTTTTGTTGGGATAAGGCTGAGAACAAGTATTTGGCATTTGCTATATCTAGACTGTCATAACTACATAATTGATTGTCTCTCTTGAAACTACCTATGTACCTGTCCTTTGACAAATGTTATCTATAAATGTCCAAAGCTACTCAACTTTATTTTGATCGATGATTGTGCATATCTATTATCAGTTTATCTATGGGCAAGTGCTCCAACGGAGTTTGTGTATGTTTATTTTGATAGCTTTCTATTTCAATTTCGAAAATCGAAAAACATCTGAGTCTTTTAGTGCTTTGTTATAGTATAACAGTTTTTAGAATAGTTGCAATTAGTCAAAGTTCAATTTTACTTCACATTTTCTACATAAATATTTAAATATACATAGTCTAGTCTTACGAACCTCCCAGTGCTTTGTTATAACAGTTTTTATAACAGTTGCAATTAGTCAAAGCTCACATTTCCTACAAAAATATCTGAAAACTTCTAGTCTTCTCGTGTTTTCTTGAAGTTGAACAACTTGTATAAAAGTTGAAGTTAGACAAATTTCCCTTCCATCTATTCTCTCTCTCTCTCTCACACACACACACACACAGGCCAAGCCAAGTCATTTCAAACTTTCATTTCCTCAACCCATTCCCAGTTATTCGCAATTCTATTGATTCCCCGCAGACAGCCTTCAATTACTCTGCAGTTTGTATTTGAATTTGAATTTGTATAATTTCTCAGTCATATATCATTATATCCATTCGCAAGGAGTTCACAAAGTCTGAAGTGAGTTTTCCCTCTCTCTCTCTCTCTCTCGCTCTCTCTTTTGCTGTAGCACACATCTATTGTCAGTTAAATTTAATTAACAAGCTCAAAAATGAAAACTTTGCCCACAACTTTACCTGCGCGAAACGTAAGCTAGAGTTTGGTTGGGGAGGGGGGCGCTGCGAGAGGGGCGTGGCTGTCAGAGCCGAGTCTGAAGGAAGGAGGGGCAAAGTTGTTTTATATGTAAGCAGGCTGGAATAGTTCCTCGAACAAGTTGCACGCATTTCGTTTGATCTGCCACCGCGAAAAACATTTCAATAAAAACACAAGAGGAAAAAAAAAAGAAAACTGAGAGAAGAAAAAACGAAATTCCCAACGAGCAGCGGCAGAAAAATGCGAGAAATTAAAATTCATAAGCTGTCTGCGTGGCGCCATCTATGGGACGGCGGGGGTAGCTTCAACATTTTCGCTGACATATTTTGCAAAGGCATTTAAAGCCAGCTAGAGTGGAGCGAGAGGGGGGGGGGAGGGGTGGTACAGCGTGGGCGAGTTAGCTGACGCTGCAGAGTGTGCCATCTCTCTCGCACTCTCCTGCTCTCTGCCCCCTCTTTCGCTCACTCTAAAGGGCTGTGCTTGAAAAATTCATAGCTTTGCCTGTTGGAGGCTGCAAAAAGTTTTGCACAAAACAAAAATACACACGCAGCCACCACACACACTCACACACACACATACACCTGCCTAAACACACACCCACACACACCTCTGCACAGCTGTATTGGGAGCCTGGCCATGGGTGCAAAGGCCAATTTTGAGTTTGAATATTTGAGCTGCTAATTAAAATGTATTCGCGGTTAACAAAACGTGCACACGCCAAAGCAACAACAACAACAACAACAATAACAATAACAGCAACAACAATGACAGCATAAGAACAGCAGCCCAGCCCAGCCCGCTCCAACTCTGACAGGAGGCGAGAAAATGAGCTTAGCGGAGAGAGCAAGAGACAAAGACAGAGAGACAAAGACAGAGAGAGAGAGAGGGAAAAGTTTTTCACAGGCTTCGCATTGAAGCCGCAAATAAACACAGAAATGTAATTGCAAGCAAATTCGTGTGTTACTGTAGGTGTGTGTATGTGTGTGTGTGTCAGGGCCAATGCCAATCATTTACAGTTACAATTACAATTACTGTTACAGCTACAGTTCCCGTTACACATGGCCTCACAAACAGCAAACAAGAAAATGCCAATGCAACGGCGTGGACAGCAGGGGACGGGGGAGGGGGAGAGGGGGCTGTTGGTCGAGGAGAGGGAGGGGCTGATAGCCAGCGAGGGGCAGGCGAGAACATCAGAAGCCTCAACTGAACTCAGCTACAATGGTCAAACTGTCCACGCAAGAGCCAGAGGGACTGAGACAGAGAGAGAGAGACAGCCTATGGCCGGTAGCCGGAGGGGCGGGTCAGCTGACAACAGCTTGACATTCAGTTGGCAGAGCATGTTGCATCATTTAACTACAAGCGGAAATATGCTGCCATATTGAATTTGCAAAAGACGCAATGCAAGGCAATGAAATACAGCTGAGCTAAGCAACTGAGAGTCGAAGCAACGAACAGAGATTACAAATGCTATATATGTATATGTATGTGTGTGTGTGTGTGACGGAAATGGTTAACAGACTAATGTCTGTGCGTCTGGCTCATGTGAGCAACTCAAGTGCAGCTCTAACGTGACCCAGAGTAACGAGTGGACTTGAAGATTTTGATTGGAAACTTTTTGGGAAAGCAACGAGTGAAGGGAACAGAGCGAGAGGTGAATGTAAGGCTAATGTGAGATAAAGTATGTATAGTATTTAGCTAAAGTTCCCATGCAGTATACTAAATGAGATTGGAAATCATATAACTGAAGCAGATGAAAGAAGGTCAAAAGCAACGAGTAAACTGAACCGAACTTATATTGGTAGTAGTAGAAGTAAGTTAAACTTAAAGAGACGATACGCAAATCCACACATCTCCTCTTTATCAAATATGTACATACCTAGAAAGGTAAACTGAAAGCGGATGCATTCAGCGAGTAACGAGTAAAGCAAAAGACGCTCAGAGTGAAATAAAGTCGAGAATAGAATAGTAAAGAGCTAGCACATCAATGGGCGTGCATGACTAAATGACCAACATAGGCAAATGATAACAGCCAAGTATTAGTTTGAAGAGTTATAAAAGTAACGAGTAACGAGTAATGAAAACCAACGAGTAGGCTTAACAGAGCAGCGACTCAGCGCATCGATGCATACAGCCAAAAGTCACAGTGGCAACACTCTCAAAGAGGAAGTCAACCTTAGCAAGCAGAGAAGTAACGAGTAAAGAGTAGCGAGTAGCGAATAATGAGTAGCGAGTAATAAGAAACGAGTAACGAGTAACAAGAAACGAGTAGCGAGTAACAAGAAACGAGTAACGAGTAACAAGTAATGAGTAACGTGTAACTAGTAAAGAGTAATTAGTAACAAGTAACGAGTAAAGTGTAACGAGTAGCAAGTAAAGAGTAACGAGTGACGAGTAACGTGGAAGGAGTAGCGAGTAACAATTAAATTAAATGTGAATGCCTAAGGCTGCACCGATAATTAGAAGCAGCTAATCAAAGCATCAGTGTAGATTGAACGAGTACGATGAGAATAAAACTGACAGGAGCAAGGCATATCTGTTTCTGCTCAACTTCAAGCTAGCTCCAACTCAGGCACTGTGGAGCTCAGCAAAAAGAGCAAACAGCAAAGGGAGCCTTTAATGAGTGCCAGCAAACAAAAGAGTGCAAGACGCTGCAGACAACCATAGAGCAAACATGTAACTACCATGCCTCTACCCACGACACCCCCCCCCCCTTCGCCCCTCTCATCATCCTTTGGCATTCGTCAAAAACGCAAACGAACTCGAAGCCCACTGAGCTCCATCATGCAGTTAGATGTGGCAAATGCGGGCTCATGGGCCGGGCGACGGCGCTGGCTAAATGACATGGCATATTTCAAGGTAAACATTTCGAACAAAAAATACCAGCAAATACCGGAAAATACCAGAAGAGACGCAGCTGAAGAAGAAGGGAAAACAACTTTTTAACGAATTGCTTTGCACCAGCTGCAAAAGCTTCCCCTCACATAGCCCCGCTGCCAGCCCGTCTCCTTCCCTCCCTGCCTCTCTCCCGCCTGTATGTTGGCAAATTCTAATTGTGTAATTAATGAATTGCCTCTCGTGCAACCACCCACCGCAGCCAGCCACCCAACCAGTGAGCCACCCCAGGCCCAAGCCCAACCACCGGCAGTCGCCACCCACCTGACCCGCATTTGGCGTAATTTTCATCCACTGGCCAACGAACCACATGGGACGTTAATTGAAATGCTCGTTGGGTGGCTGCGTCCTTGAGATCGCCAGCCTCCAGAAAAGAGAAAAGCAAACAGCAAATGAGCCAAGCCCAAGGGAGTGCACGACTGCACGTATACCCTATGTGAATTTGCATTTCTAATTAGCAATTTGCTTTAGTGCCCGAGCTATTTAATAGCATGATATGGCCATGTATCGCCTTGAGCAAATAGATGACTTGACAGACTACTAAATACCCTATTGTAGATTGTAACATTTAGTTATATTCTTAGTATATAGAAGTTTTTGGCTAGTAATATAGTATATCTTAACAATGACCGACTAGAATATACCCTACACTGACTGGAGTACACCCAAAAATAAGTC